GGCTGACTATGAGTGATTTGAAAACTAGGCAACGTATATAAAAAACTGAGAATGCATGATTCCCTCAGCCCTAGATATTAGCTCTATCCTGCCCTAAATATTAATTTATATTTGTTTCTGGTGGGCAGCTAGATTGGTGCCACTTTGCAATCCTAGATCATCTCAATCCAATTAAGTCTAGATAGTGTGAAGCTAAAATACTGAAACGTCTATTTAGCCTTCTCTGTTTCTAATTCTTACTTAGTTCTAGGCTCCAGGTCATTGGAATTCTAACTGAAAGTCTAAGATATTAATTAAGACCCCCAAGACCCCAACTCTGTGATAAACTGTGCTTGGTTTCTAAGCAGGCACTTCTGAAACTGCCTCACGGAGACAAACCAGATTGAAATGCCAGGCTTACTCTCAGGACATGTCTCTTTTCCAGAGTTTAGTATCAAAATTCCTCACTGTCTTTGGCCTCCTTGATGCTTTCTATTGTAATTGCTTTCCTTTGTTTAGGGCAAAGCAAAATATGACCAGGAAGATGGTCTAAAACAAAAGACTGCTATTACCCAAAGTGCAACTTCAAGTGCAAGTCACAGGAGGGGGGAAATTTTTTTAAGTCCCCCCATCTACTAAGGAGGAGCCCTGGTGGCGTCATGGTTACGCTTGGGCTGCAATCTGCATGGTTGGCAGATGAAAACCTCCAGCAACTCTGTGAGAGAGATTAGGCTTTCTACTCCCATAAATAATTACATTCTTGGAAACACACAGGGGGGTTCCCTATGAGTCAGCATTGACTCCATGGCAGTAAGTTTGGTTTTATACCCTATGAAGTAGCCCTATTGGTATAGTGGACTACGAATTGGGCTGCTTACTGAAAAGTCAGCAGTTCAAACCCATCAGCCACTTCAAAAGAGAAAGATGAAGCTTCCTGCTCCTATAAAAATGTATAGCTTTGGAAAACCACAGGGGAAGTTCTGTTCTGTCCTACAGGGTCACTATAAGTCAGAATTGACTAAATCAATTGGCTTTAATTTTCTATAACGAAGTGAGTAGCCCTGTTGGGAGAGTGGCTTATATACTGAGATGCTAAATGCAGTGTTAGTGTTTCAAACCCAACAGTTCCTCCATGGGAGAAAGATGGCTGTCTGCTCCTGTAAAGATTTAAGAAATCTTGGAAACCCAAAGGAGATCTACTCTGTCCTGTAGGGTTGCTATGAGTCAAATCAATTTTATGGTAGTGAATTTGTATATACTCTACAGTCAGTCAGTACTGATTAACATACTCCTTCAAATCTGGATATTTTGAGTGCCTACATTATGTTTGGGGTTAACATACATTGCGATTAAAAAAAAATAGTGCACGAAATTACATGGGGGCGAGGCACTTGGATATCTGATCTCCTCTGGCTTCCCTATTGTCACAAGGCAGGGGCCGCACAGGCTTTCACCCTCCATCCTTCTCTACCTAATTCTGACACCAATCATTTTTCACATAGTACTCTTTCACTAGTTCATTGCAATGGCCACACAAAACTCCCACACAACACTCAAGATTATGGGGTTTATTACGAAAGTGAATAGGTTGCCTCGAGTCAGCATCAGTAAATAGTAAGGATGCAGTCATTGGTCTACAGCAATACTTCTACTCCTCAGTTTTTCTCCAGTCCAAAGCCTCTCGGCCAGGTGGTTCCTTGGCTCCTGCCTCTGTGGGTCAGGAAGCCAGCCTGCCTCTGTCTCACGGTCCCACAATCTCAGGCCAGAGGAATAGAAGGTACCCCATAGTCTCAGCACTGCTCCTGAGGCCCCACGTCACAGTTTCTGGTGCATCTGGTCTCAGTGGTCTCTGCCACTTAGATAGAGATCATGGACATGCTCTTCCAAGGTCCTGAGGTTTCTCTATGTCACTGATGGCTCTTATTCAACAAGGAATAGCTTTGATGGACGTGTGGTTTTGATCTTTTGGCCAATCATACCACCAAAGAAAACAAAGGATGTTGTCTTAAGTCACCACTCTAGCAAAGAAAGCAGGAGCCCTGGCAGCACAGTGGTTACACATTAGGCTGCTAACCACAAAATCAGCAGTTCAAAATCACCAGGCACTCTGCAAGAAAAAGACTAGGCTTTCTATTCCCATATAGAATTAGTCTCGGAAATTCACAGGGACAATGTCACCCTGTCCTGTGAGTCAGAAGAACTCTATGGCAGTGAGTTTGGTTTGGTTTTCTAGTAAAGTAGTCGTAAATATGCCTCCAGGGAAATAAAAGGTGTCTTGGTTCACACTCTCTATTAAGGTCAGGACAGCCAGAGGCATAGAGCCCAGAATTACATATCACATAAGAAATCATAGCTAGAAGGGTCATATTAATTGGCTGTGTCTCAATAAGTGTCCCTTATTCAATTTAAAGCTACTGTGAATATTAAAAACACCTACTAAAATGAAATTCACATAAAAACTAGTGGGACATAATAGTTTAAATAATGTGGAATTAACCTTCCTTCTGTAGAGTATAAGAAATTTAGTCTTTGGGGAAAACCACACCTAAGACATATATCAGATAGAAATATATATTAGATAGAGGAATATACATATATAATAAGATTCAGGGCAATAAATGGGAAGATTAGATAAAAACGTGCACATTGAGTCCTGCCCAGAGTTCCTAACACCATCTCTAGACCTGCTTTAGGAAGGCCAGTAACCAAACTTAAATTATAAAAAATCAAACTTCAGCATGGATTAAAAGCTCAAAAATCTTTTAAAGGAGATGTATATGGGGGGTGGGAGGTGGGGGGACCAGTATGTTTGAGCATGAAGAAATTATTATGGATATGACTATAACAGAAATGTCAAAGTATCTGGAAGTTACTTACAGTTTAAAAACACGAACCTCACTGCCATCAAAACAATTCCAACACTTCACTCACTGCCCATGAGTCAACGCCGACTCATAATGAACCTATAGGATAGTTGGAACTGCTCCTGTGAGTTTCTGAGGCTCATTCTTTACGGGCTTTAGTGAACCTATATTGTAAAAAGTAGAACTGCTCTTCAGGGTTTCCTAAAGTACATATCTTCTAAGGCTCACACAGTCTTCTCTTTCTCACCTGGAATGGCTAGTGAGTTAGAACCACAGATTTTGTGGTGAGTAGCCCAATACATAGCCAACAGCACCACTGGAAAAATCAACAGGTGACAACTCCAAAAAGACGAAAGATTATAAACGAGCGATTTTCGTGCCTTACTGGCTTACTAGGGTATACAGCATTTTCAAAGTGATTGAAAGTATACGCAATCATTAACATTTTAGTTTGTCATATAACTATGTTGGGAGATGAGGGCTAAGACAACTCTAGGAAGGTGAAAAGTGGGGCTAAATTCTCAACAATATAAACAGAAAAGGATATCTTTTTTTAAATGAGCAGAAACAATGGGAGAAGCAGCGAGAACTGACCATGATTGCTTTAAGAAGCAAAATTATAAAGTAGACAGGTTTGGAACAGAGAACTGCTGTTTTTGAATTTAAAACTTTTAGTGGTATGGGATTTGGGAGTTTCCCATTAAATGATGTACTACTTCTTGATGAAAATTTAAAAATGAATGGAATATAAATAATGTAAATGAACACAATAAATAATTCCTAACTTTTTTTAACTTGCCATTTTTTTGATTATCCTTACTTAAATAGCTTAGATATTCTACACACTGTTTAAAAGAGGAAGGCAGACCTGAACTAAGTCATGGCATTTTCAATCACCACGTGAAAGCTGGACACTGAATGATCCTGCATGGGTGATGACTATGGGAAGTACCATCGATTGCCAGAAGAACAAATACATTTGTCCTGGAGGAAGTTCTGTCAGAATGCTCCATATAAGCCAGGTATGGCGAGATTTAATTTCTTTTGAAATATTATCAAGAAAGACCAGTCCCTAGAGAAGGACATTATGCTTGGTAAATAAAGTACAGTTCATCAAAAACTAGGAAGGCCCTCAAGGAGTAGAGGCAATAACAAGTTTCTACATAGGAACAACTGAAGATGATACACGACCAGGCAATGTGTCTTATTCTGTGTACCGGAATGGCTGAGAGGTAGAATCAACTTGATGGCACCTAACAACACACATCATTTAGCAATGCCCATGTGAAACAAATAGTTAACCACTGAACTACTATAGGACAGGTTGGCAATGTGACACCAGTCAGAGGTACCTTAGAAGAAAGGCCTACTTGTTTGCTTGAAAGGTTACAACCTTGAAAACCCTGTGGAGTTCTACTCTGCATCTCTGGCATGAGTTGGCAATAATTTGACAGCCACTAACAAACACAGCATACATCATTGGATTAACAGAAACATCCAGTGCACAAAAACCACAGACAGTCCCTTTTGGTTTACTCATGCACTCACTCGTTATTTATGTGATAGCATGTCTTCAACATAATAAGACTCTGCACTGCATGCTAGTTATAGCACTAGTAGCCTGAAAGATTTACACCATGCCTCAGGACATTTGCAAATATTCAACCTAAAATGACATGATTTATGGGTAAGGTCACCATATAATTTTATCATCTAATCCACAACTCTCTGCAATGTGAAAGAAGGTGTGAAGACTAAAGATGCCAAGGGATCTACAATAGGAGTAAATGGGGAGTGTACCAGGCACCCCAGAAAATGTATACACCTTCCTTTTGAGTACTGACTGACTCTGACTGCATATCCAGTTTACAAGGCTCACTAAAGTCACAGGAAAGTCCATAAAAACTGTTGGTTTTTGCCACTGTGACAATAATCTCCAAATGAAGGGAAGAGGGAGAAACTAAATCCAATTTGAAAAAGTATTGCTAGTATTCTTAAAACCCCATACTGGGGCTGAAAGATAACAGGAGTTGAGGATTGTAATTCCCAACCTATTTCATTACACAGATGAGCACATTAAAAAATTTGTCCATATTTATTTTTAAAATATACAACTTAATCATGCCAAGCAAATAAGACCCAAAGGAAAAGCCTTACCTGAATAACGGCACTAAACCAGCACGTGTTGCCAACGTTTTTGAGCCCAACTGGAGCTTTGTCCAGCCTTTTCCTATCGTAAGGGTTCCGAGAATCTCTCCACACTTCCGTCGGAGTCCTCTTCAAAGATGCTTTATTTTCTGCGATGCTGGCTTCAAGGACTCTGAAGCAACAGAGAGAAACTGATGAAAAGAAGTGGCATTATTGTAAGGCTACGCCCTAGGTAAAAGACTCTCAAGATTGTGAGTAACCTCTGGGTAATCTATTTAGGGAAGTAATCGTTAGCACTAACTTTACTCAAGTAAATATAAGTGTTCTGAAGGAACACGAGCAAATGGAACAAGAGCAGTTGAATCTATTTTTTCAAAAAAAAATGGGGGGGGGAGAGTACATCAAGCACTCACCAAAAAAAATGCTATGTAATAGAAAGTAGATTAAGTTATATTTCAGCAAATTAGAAATTCACTATCAAGACTATAGCACGCTAGTTATGATTTCTAAGAAATGGCTGCAAAAACCCTTTTTTGAGAAATGAGAAGAAAACAAATCTATGGCTGCCAAGTTGAAGTTCACACAGAGAGCAGAGCTACCCCATGGGGCTGTCAAGCCTGCAAATCTTTAATGGAAGCTGACTGGTAACATCTTTCTCCTGAAGTCTGGCTGGAGGGTTTGCTTTGATGACCTTACCTAACTATTGTGTAACCAGGATGCCTCTAAAAACACTGCCTTCAAGCAGATAGCTCTACTTATCATAGCAAACTAATTTTTTAATGTAATAATTATCTGACTCACCTTGAAAAAAATTCAGAACTGCAGATAAACTTTTACCCCTCTGTACAAATTTTTTTCTATGAAAAATTTAATTAAATCTGTTGCCTAGTTAATTTTGATTCAGTAATTATACAGAGAAAAACTGCCCCCAGAGTTTCAAAGGTTATAAAGCTGCAGGAGAGGGGAAAAAGGAGGACCTAATGCCGGGGGCTTAAGTGGAGAGGAAATGTTTTGAGAATGAAGAGGGCAATGAATGTACAAATGTGCTTTGCACAATTGATGTGTGTATGGATTGTGATGAGAGTTGTATGAGCCCCTAATAAAGTGATTAAAAAAAATAAAAGAAGAAGAGCCAGGAGAAGAGGATGTCACCTGAAAAAAAAAAAAAAAAAGCTGCAGGAGAAAAGCTGTCAAAATATTTTTCCCCCATGAAATTGCAGGTGGGCTCACACTGCCAACTTTTCTGTTAGCAGCCAAACATTTTAACCACCACGCCATCAGGATTCCTTCCTCTTCATTAAATACAGGAAAATGTAGACAGCCCCTGTCTTACAGACAGACATGACTTTATAGCTAAATAAATGATGGCAATGCCTGGGTACTCACTTATTCACCTCAAAGTTTACTTAGGAATAAAAGAAGCAAAATAAATATGTATGCATTAGAATAAAAAAATAACCTTTCCAAAATAAACTGTTCCATAGGATACCTGAAGCACACCTATGGTACTTTGATAATGACATTTTCATACTCCTAAACCATGCAAAACGTACCTATGATCACTAAAGGAGCCATGATTCCACATATTAAATGTATGCTATTTCACCTTTCTTTTAAACCCATGAAGTTTGGGTTTGCACAAGATGTGCTACTTGTGCCACTGAGCCAGCTCTGACCCATAACAACCCTATGCAGAATTGAGCATAACAATGCCCAAGTTCTATGCCATCCTTACAATTGTTCCTGTGCAAGCACAAATAAAAAAGGCATAAATAAAGCAAGCATAAATTGGCAGATTGTCTTACACAACTCTGCTTCTTTCAAAATGCTGAACTGTGGAATAGGCAAACAAGCCTATCCCCATTCTGAGGCATCGTGACTGCAGGTTTTTGAGGCTGTAAACCTTTACGGGAGCAGACAGCCTGTCTGATCTTCCTCCTGAAAAGCAACTGATGGGTTTGAATGGCCGACCTTACCATTACCAACCCATCAACAAGAGTACATTCTCCTAACTCTTTTTACTTCTGGAGAACATTCACTCTTGCTAGATCATCTTTATCATATAAATTTTGCCTTATTAGGGTAATGCCAAAATAATATCGTTATATTTCTTAACTAAGGGGGGGAATCTACCGCTAACAGTAGTATGTACAACATAATATTACATAAAGCATAGTTGTACTTCAAATATTATTTGCTTTGTGATATAGGAGAAAGCCTGTGGAGCAATGAAACCACACACTAAAATATTAAAAAGGTCATAACAAGGTTAAACTGTAAATATCCAGTGGATGTGTGCATTTTTTTAAAAAACTGTACATTTTTATCATGTCTGAGTACTCTTTGTCCTAAGTCAAGTCTCCCATGCAAACCCCCACCACAGGCTTTTTTCTGAAATTATTTACCATTAAAAAGAATTAAAACTACTAGGAAGATATTTAGACAAACTGGGGCAAAACAAAGAGCCCTGGTAGTACAGTGGATGTTACACTGGGCTGCAATCCACATGTTCTGCAGTTTGAAATCACCAGAAGCTCCTCAGGAAATTGACTGGGCGCTCTACTCCTGTAGTTACAGTCAGAACCCGCAAGAGAGTCGCTAAGAGTCAGCATTAACTCCATAGCAGCGAGTTTTTTGGGGGACAAAGGAAATAAAAATTCCCACAGTTACTATAAAGCAGTTTTTAAGAGCCCAAGAAAAATTACTAAGAGGTCAATCAATCAACTTGAGAGAATTCCCATTGGCCCAGCTGTGAAATTCAGCAAAATACATGAACAAAATAATATTAATGATAATACCAATATTCAACTCCTAAATTACATTTATATTTACAGTATTATATATTTATAAAATTAATTCAGTAATGATAGCTATATCATCCTTCATTATAACAAAAGTATGGGAATGGGTTTATTATAATATTCTTTAGCCACAGTATATAGGACTATAAAGCCAAAAGGCAATGAATGTAAAAGGAATTTTATGACTCTTTAGTATCTTGAGAAAGAAACACCTGTTACTATTATTTTTCAATCCCTATGATTCTCGTAAAAAGTGTTGAGCTAACCAAAGTGTTATAAAGTCAGGTCCTGTTGATTCCTTGACCTCCACAGCCAACATAAAGTTAATGATAACACTCAGGCTTTGAAGTATAAGATATGCAACAGCTAAATAAATGCCAATAAAAATAGAAAAAAATAACTTCTGCAAATCCCAGAGAGCTCATAAATAGCCGATAAAAAATGTACTGTATGGACAAAAGCAACCTCCTGAGTCACAAATAAAACCAATAGCCACCACGTATCATCTTTCTTAGCCTCAGCAACACAGGTAATGATCTAATAACATGAAAAGACAACAAAGTGTTTTCTTGCCTATTAGTTGCACACACTATACTGTATGTTTAAAATATTTAATTATAGCACATTTCTATGTTCACATTACAATTTCATTGCAGGTTTTGTTTTTGTTTTTCAGATTGCTTTCTTGTTGTTCTTTTACTTTAACTTAAATTGTGTTGCAATAGCAACATTAAAAACCTCCCACTTTAACTCACCTAAGTCCCTTTTTGAGATGTTATCATACTCACTGAAAAATATGCCCATCTGCCACAAGGATACCAGTTCCTAGGAGGATTATTCAACTTTACTCATCAAATACTAATGGTAAAGATGAAAATATTAAAGCTACTATATCCAAAGTCCAAAAGCAGATCAAATAAAAGGCGTCTGATTTCACTAGTCTATGGACAAATAAAACTCTCCCAGGAGCAGAAGTGGGAATGCTTAATGCCTTTTCAATGTCCCACAGATAATTGTCTTCGTGCAGGGTGAGTGATAAACGCTGTGTGGCACCAAGTAGATAGCTGCCCACAAAAACCTGTTAAGATTGATAAATAGAACTTTTCATCTCTAACAGATCGGAATTTAGGAGTCTTTAATGATGAGTGCTTTCTTTCTCTTTAAGAAATACTTCTCGATCAGAGGTAGAAATCTGACTTGAAGAGGTAAAATGTTGTCAGGTGATCCCCACGCCTCTGATGCATGCTGGACTGGACTGGATCTGGTTTCCAAACATTTTCTGTGGTTTGGTTTGGTCTGGTTTGATCCTATTAGGGTGTGTCTCAGGGGGCTTCTATCACTGGAGGCCACGCTCATGACGTTGTGTTATACATTTTTCTGGGTCCCTATGGCTTCATCAAGCCTGAGTTTCATATACCCAGGCTTGATGAAACTATAGGGACACCAAATAGAATAATGGTTTGGGGGAGAGGAGTGGGTACAGTGGTGGTGAGGGGGTAAAAAGGAGACAATGTCCAGGAATCCAGGAAGAAAAAGAATGTTTGGAAACTAACTGTGGTAGCAATTGTACAATTCTGCTTGACGTGACTGAACTATGAAATGATACAAATATTAACCCCAAACTAATAAATTAAAAAGAAATACTGCTGTATCTTGAAATCACAAAAATATTTTTGCATAGTGTATTTTAAGCATTTTATAGTTTGAGTTTTCATGGTTAGACCTTGACTTTGTAAGTCATTAATTTTACCAAATGAAAAAATTAAGTCCAACTTAATTTTTTTGGCATAAATAGCAAGTTTCCCCAATAATTTAATTAAGTAGATCTTCCAGGCGCCCCCACCCCATGAAATACTGTACCATCCCTACCATATATTAAGTTTTTGGCACTTTTAAATCTTATTGTCCTTTTCTCAATATTGTCATAATCAGTACACCTTTATAATTATTCTTGATTATTTGAGATAACAAATTCATTCTCTCTGTTCTTCCAATTATCAAATAAACAGAATCTCATTGCTTTCACAAGAAAATACATATACATGCACAGATATTGTGTCCAGGACTGCTAAGAACTAATAGGCCTTTTCCAGTGGGCAGTGACGCTCTCGGTCCTCCAGATAAATACTATTTTGACTTTGATGACTACACATCAGTGTGTCTGTTCTTGAGCATCACACTTTATTCTTTTCTGTCAGGATTATTTCACTGAATGGATTGGATGGAGATTCAAGTACATTTTTTGCAAGTCTCAGAAGTATTTTCCTTACAATGCTCTGTTTCAATCACATAAATATACCACAACTCCTTACCCATTTTGCTCTCATAAACTTTGGATCTGTTTCTAATTATTATCAATAAAGTACATGTT